AAGAAGCGGTTTAATGACCGCCTCTTTCAGCAGATCTGGGAATGTGCCCTCACAGAGGAAAGCATTCACCACCCCGCAGAGCCCATCGCCCAGCCCTTCCCGGCTTGCTTTTATTAGCCAGGATGGGCAAGGATCAAGGAGACAGGTGGTTGGTTTCACGCGTCCAAGCAGCCTGTCCACATCCTCGGGGGTAACGGATTGACCAGACAGATTGACGGATTGACCATGCAACTTGACCAGACAGGGCTCCAGCACTCTCCCGCCCCAGCCCTGCTCCCACGGTGGTGTCTAGCTCCTTCCGAATATGAGTGATTTTATCTGCAAAAAACTTTGCAAAATCGTTGCAGGAGATCTTGGGGTCTTTACAAGGCCCCGATGTTAAGGGTGGTTCCGTTAAATTGCGGACCACCTGAAAGAGTCTCCTGCTACTATTTTCTGCAGATGCAATAGAGGCGGCGAAGAAAGTCTTCTTCGCCGTCGCTATCGCCACTTGGTAGGCTCGACGTTGAGCTCTAACCTGTGTCCGGTCAGATTCGGAGTGAGTTTTCTGCCACCGACGCTCTAGCCGTCTCAGCGATTGTTTCATCGCCCTCAGCTCCGAAGAAAACCACTGGGCTGTCCGGGCTCCATGCAATCGGAGAGGGCGCTTCGGAGCCAGACAGTTGATAGCCGTGGTTAACTCCACATTCCAGCGGGCCACCAGGGAATCAGCTGAAAGGCCATCAACATGGGATAAAACATCCCCTACCACTCTCTGGAAACCATTTGGATCCATTAAGTGGCGGGGGCGGACCATCCGAATTGGTCCCACCTCCCTGCAGAGGGGAAGGGTCGCGGAGAAGTCCAGTTGCACCAGGAAGTGATCTGACCATGGCACTTCTTTAGTTTCACTTTTACTTAGTGTCAGATCACCCACGTCACTAGAGGTGAATACCAGGTCTAAGGCATGTCCATGACTATGAGTTGGGCCCAACTTATTCAGGGACAGCCCCATGGAGGCCATGCTTTCCACGAAGTCCCGAGCGGCCCCTTGTAAGGTCGTGTCGGCATGGATATTAAAATCCCCTAGGACAACCAAACTAGGTGTCTCCAGGAGTACATCCGCCACGACCTGAAGCAGCTCCGACAGGGAATCCTTGGTGCAGCGGGGAGGTCGGTACACCAAAAGGAATCCTGTACTGCCCCTATTGCCCAACTTCCAGAACATGCACTCAGAAAACTGGGTCTTCCCAGTAGGACGCCTGATGCAAACTAATGACTTCCTAAAAATCACTGCAACCCCCCCTCCCCGCCCACATGACCTGGGTTGCTGTGCGTAAGAGAAACCTGGTGGGCAAGCGGCAGCAAGGACAGGCCCATCCGCTTCATCCAACCAGGTCTCTGTCACACATGCCAGGTCAAATCCTCCATCCACAATCAGGTCGTGGATGGCAGTGGTTTTATTCATCATTGACCTGGCATTACACAGCAACACCTTCAGGTCATGTGGGTTTCCCCTGTTGATTCCAGTATCCATCCGGTCAAGGCCAGACCCGGAGGCAGGGATAGTCTTCAAACAACGACTAAACCTGCCTCCTCGGTAATGACATGGTCTGGTCTTGGCGTAACTCCGCCTCCTGCCCATGATCACCGAGATCGGATGTCCCAGTGCTTCCCCCCCTGTGGAACTTGTCCCAGCCATTGTGTTGGCTGGGGCCCCACTCCCAGGCAGCCCTGATCCCGCCCCTTAAAAAAAAGAAGAAGAAGAAGAAGAAGAGCTCACTCGGTTGAGGGCGGGTCTCCTTTCCCCAGAAAACTCTAGAGTCATGAAATTTATACACCGATTTTGTATTTTGGTTTACCCAAGTTCTTGGTAAGCCAAGAAACTCACCACCACGCATCACTAACTCGAAGATTTGGCTACTTGAAGAGAAAACATGCAAAAGTTGAAATACTAAAACGGATTAAAATTACCTCATCTTTCTAAGCACCTGGGGGGGCATAGCCAGGCAAAAATGTTTTTTGCAGGTGCTGAAGAGAGGGCAGTGCAGGTGCTTGCTTGATCTCAGCAGGCAGGGGATTCCAGAGAGTTCTTACAAAGGCAGTATTATGGGGCAGCTGCAGCAGTGCCAACTCCAAGGGGAAAGCCAAAGATTGAGAGATTCAGGGCAAAAAGAAGGAACTATGGAACTCCCTCCCACAAGCGGCAGTGATAACCAGCAACCTCAGAGAGGGGTGGGCTTCACTGGAGATGTTTAAGCAGAGGCTGGAAGGACACCTGCCTGAGATTCTTTAGCTGTGATTCTTGCACTGAGGTCCAGCACCGAGGGCCTTCTGGCGGTTCCCTCACTGCGAGAAGCCAAGTTACAGGGAACCAGGCAGAGGGCCTTCTCGGTGGTGGCGCCCGCCCTGTGGAACGCCCTCCCACCAGATGTCAAAGAGAACAACAACTACCAGGCTTTTAGAAGACATCTGAAGGCGGCCCTGTTTCGGGAAGCTTTTAATGTTTGATGTATTATAGTATTTTAATATTCTTTTGGAAGCCGCCAAGAGTGGCTGGGGAAGCCCAGCCAGATGGGCGGGGTATAAATAATAAATTATTATTATTATTATTATTGCATTGCAAGGGGTTGGAGTAGATGACCTTCGGGGACCCTTCCAACCCTACAGTAACTAGGAGTGAGCCTAAGGCAGACAATTGTTACACTATTTGTTCTAACTGTTTTTGCTATACATCAGCAGAACAGAAATAGAACATAGACACCCCACTCCTTGTGGGGACGATATATTTTACACTTGTGGAGACGATATATTTTACAAGATTAGGATAAAGTATTTTCTGTATTTTATATTGTGATTTTGTGTTGTTAACCACCCTAAGATCTATGGGTATAGGAAGTCAAACAGCCTAGTTCTCAAACGTTTTTGCTCCTAAACGCCACAGTCCCGGAAGTGTGTTCTGATTTGCGTTCTTTTGGAAGCCCAACATCCGACGGGGCTTCCAGTTGGCTGCAGGAGCTTCTTGCAGCCAATCGGAAGCTGCACTTTGGCTTCTGAATGTTTTGGAAGTCAAACAGACTTCTGGGACAAGATTCCGTTCGACTTTGAAAATACGACTGTATAATAAAGCGATTTCTCAATGCCTTCGATTGTGAGTATAAAAATCCCAGGAATTAATGTTGGGTCTTTCCTTCCCCTCCAATCTATTATAGTTTTCCTTTTGTATCGGTATGATTGATGTTTTTTGCATTATGTCTTTTTAAAAACTGAGCACCTTGAACTGGGCCTTGAAATGAAACAGGTCCTGAGAGCTCTGCAGGGAACCCCAGGCAGGAATCTTCCGAGTTGTCTTCAAGGGCAGCCCCAAGACATTGAAATAGTCGCCTGGAGGTTTCCCTCCACCATTGCTGGACGTTCACTTCCACCCATTTGCCCAATCCGTCTTTAATGCAGGGGCGGGGTGGAGCCTGGGGTTACTGACTCCCATCAGACCACCTGCTCAGTCCTCGGGCAGTGGGAGTCTAGCACCACAGGGGGATTCCTGACTTCAATGGGCACTTAGTTTTTTTTAGGACTGCATCATACCCCAAGTCCTTCACAGGAAAGCTCTTCTCATCTCAGCTCCAAGCGTCCT